TCAGACTAGATGATCATAATGGTCCCTTCTGACCTAAATATCTATGAATCTATGATTATTATAACTAACTACAATAAGAAATCTTGGTGATTTGCACTGTTCTTTGGTATAACTGCTGAGCCGCAGTCACAGTCTGGGATAATTGATTGCAAGTTGGTATTGGTGTGATCAGTACACACCGAGAACATTGGTTGTGTCTACGCTTTATTGGTGAAGTATGTTGATGTGGTTCTGGGTGCATTAATAAACTGATTGGTTAAGAATAACAAAGTGTTTTGATTTGAGAAATACTGTTCAAGTTAAAAGTTGACCTGAAAAGAACCTAGTGTTAAAGTTAGTAAGCTAATGCTCCCTGGACTCAATAAGAAGGGGTTATCCTATTAGATTCAGTCTAATATTGGCTATAACACTATCAAATTGGCAAACCTAGTTTGTTAGATTTCAGCTTTAAAATCTAAAATACATTTGCCAAGATGCCAAAAAAATTGGCACCCCCCCACCCTTTCACACTTAAAAAGCACCACAGAAAATGGAAACTAAGATCAGTTGATGGCAATGAATATAAATTATAAGTTAAGAAGAGCAGACACTTAATAAAGGAAGCTACAAAGGTTTCTGTGAAAAATATTTGGCCTATAGGGTTTAAAAAAAAAAAGAATCTTAACAATGGTATGGGTCCATTCCAAGTTACAGATAGTAAGTTGTCAGTAATAAAGCCGAGAAGACAGAAGTGCTCAATAAATATTTATTACCAGTATTTGGAAAAGCTGGATGCTGTATCATAATGAGAAGGTACTTTCTATTTCAACAATAAAGAGGATTATAAACAGCATCTATTCAATTTAGATTATTGAAAATCAGCAAGCACAGAAAACTTGTACACGTGTTTTAATAAACCTTAAAGAACTAGGGTTAGCTCTTGGGGACAGGGAAAAATCCAATATTGTTCCAATATTTTAAGGGGACAAATGGGATAAGCCAAGCAGTTATTGATCAGACAGCCAACCCCAAGTAAAAAAAAACAATGAAGGTGGTGATACAGGACTATCTAAGAGTGGAAATATAATCTGTACCAATCAATAGGATTGTATGGAAAACAGAACTTGTGAAATGAACTTGGTATCTGAAGAGATTACAAGTTTGGTTTATTAAGGTAATGAAATACTTTGATTTAGCATGGAAAGACTGATTAAAAACTAGCACTACATAAAATCAGTGTAGCACATATTCAAGGGATGACAAACTAGCTGACATATCTCAAAAAGCAATTGGCAATAGGGGTGTTTCAAGGGGAATCTTGCAGGGATCTGCCGTGGCCAATCTCAATTCAAAAGCTCTATCAAATATTCAGGAAAAAAAATAAATTCTTGATATAGCTTGTAGACAGACTGGTTGGGTGATAAATAATAAGGACTGGTCACATACACAGCACAATCTGGACTGCACAGTAAAAGGAGTACAGAAACGTGTATTTTATTATAGCTAAACGCAGACTTGTAAATCTAGGAACAAAGAATCTAGGGCCCACTTACAGGTGGAGGGGGCTGCATGCTGGAAAGCAGCAACTCTGAAAAGGACTTGGATCACGGTAGAAGCCAACATCAGCTTCTAGCATGATGCTGTGCTAAGGCAGCTGCTGTGACCATTATGCATAGACAGGAGAAGGAGCAGGGAGAAGGTATTACCTGGGCATACAGCATCGCTGAGACTGTTACTGGACGCCGTGTCCACTGCTGGTGTCCAAAGCTGGACAGGGTTCAGAGAAGAACCACAAGAACAATTCAAAGAAAACCCAGTTCGACAGTGAAATTAGAGAAGTTCAATTCAGTTTACCCAAGAGAGGCTTACGACATGACTTGCTCACTGTCTACTAGCCCCCATATAGTGAGAAGTTTTCCCAAAAGCAGAGAGCTCTTGAAATCAGGCAGACTAAAGCATAACAAGATCCAGTGTCTGGAAGCTGAAGCTAGACAAATTAAAGCTGGAAATATGGGGCAAGGTTTTAATGGTGAAGGCACTCCACCATTGGAGCAACTAAATCAACAGTATGGTTGAGTCTGTCATTTGAGGTCTTTAAATCAAGATTGGATGTCTTTCTAAAAGATCCTCTAGCTCAACCGGAGATTACTGGACTATGAAAGAATCACAAGGTGAAATTCTCTGTCCTGTGGCTGGACTGCTACTTGTATCATGGTAGCTCTTAGGAGCCTCAGTAATGGATGAGGGCCCCATCGCGCCAGGTGCTGGACTGACACAGAACAAAAAAGAGCCCCTCCCCCCAAGAGTTTACAATTAAGTACAAGACAGGAGACCAATGACACAATACTGACATACTCCCTCCATTGGTCTAAGGAAACAGACAATCTTGGTCAGCGTGACCAAGTTTCTTGTAGGCCTCATGGTGAAGGAGAGATGTAGAGAGAACTACGAGCTAGTTTTGCAGATCTCGCCAAGCATGTGGGGCAGCACGGGAAAAAAAGCACCAAGGTGTTCACCTGAAAATTTAACAAGGGGGCGATGGAGGTTGGCATCAGGGGCCAATATGATGTGGGAGTCAACATCTCAATCGTAAGAGACGACGACAGGTAGAATGGCTATGGACTGTGAAGGGCCTTAAAGCAGAGTGATGGAGTGAACAGTGGCACAAACAACAACAGTGGCCAGAGCGAACAGCGAGCAGCTGGAGGAATGAGCGAGGTGCCTTCTTGCCCCCCAGCTGGGAGGTGAACTCACATGAAAGCAGCTCTGAACTCGGAGTCTCCACTGACCAAGGACAACACCAGTGAGTGTTAATGAGGCTGTTACACAACACAGTTCATGCGACCAAACATGGCCTTTCTATTTAAGCAAGAGATACCACACTACAAACTGGAGGCCAATGTTAAATGCACTGTCACTTGTTAATCCTGAAGCTGAACACTGGTTCCGAACAAGACCAGCAAATGCTCACTGTCTTTCTGCAGGAAACTCAACTGACTGGCTAGACACATGTGGTGCAACAGCAGAAGACTCAACCGTTGAAAAAGTGAAGAAGTCTCTCACCACATTCAAAAAAATTGCATGAATGCACCGATGCAAATAGTCATCAAGTATTAAGTCATTGTGTACATTATCTTGATGTCAATGGTAAGCCAGTACATGCATTTCTAGGTGTTCAAGTTATAGAAGACAGATTGGCTGCATCTGTGACAATCCACATCTTAGAAGAGTTAAATGCTTGTCAATTGGACTCCAAACAGATGGCTGCTTGCGCATTTGATGGAGCTGCACACTTCTCTGGAAGACATGGTGGAGCACAAGCTTTGCTCAGAGAAAAGTGTAACCCTAGTCTCTCCTATACACACTGCAGAGGCTATCTACTCCATCTTGCGCTAGTATAAGCTGCAGACTCTTCAAAAGACATATAAAAAGCTACAAATTTAATGTCTTCATTATATTCTTTTTTCAGCAAGAGTCCAAAAACACTGAATATATTGGAAAATACAGAAGATACACTGGGACTGAAGTTCAAATTAGTCCAACCTGGGAAAACCCTCTGGCTTTCTCATGAGCGATCCTTGGCTGTTGTCTTAAAATTACTCCAGCCATTATTACTGGCTTTGGAAAGTATCTACCAAGATGGGATGGATCAAAGTAGCGAGGCTGGTGGATTACTTTTGCTACTACATTCAGAGAAGACTATTGCCCTTCTGTCTCATAAGTCTACTGTTGAAACCACTTGGGTCATTAAACAATACCATCTAGGCATCTGCTACAACAGTAGTAGATCTTTGCCCAGCAACAGAAGCTACATTTGGATCAGAGAGCTATCCATTGAAAAAGTACTGGAAGAAGCAAAGACTTCCATCCAGAAACTGACAAATGAAGGCATTTATATTGAATCCTTAATTGAAGAGGACAAGAAGTGTTTGTTAAGATAACTGAAAAAGTATACAGACTTGATTCTTAAAAATCTATAACAGCAACTTCTAGATTCTACTCAACTTCTACGTAGCTTTTACAGATGCCTGTCCTATAAAACACCGACAGTTGAGTAGAGTGAGGCACGACCAGCAATGGAGCTGCCATGTGCTTGGGACAGAATAGAGAATTTGAACACAGAGTGGAATATCCTACTATGAATGAAGGAAGATTTGACTTCAACTTCTTTTTTATCATCACTAGTGACTCAACCCGATCTTTACACTCTGTTTCCTGGGCTGAAAGAAGCAGGAATTCATCTCTTGCTACTCCCAGTCACAACAGCTACAATTGAGCGTTCTTTTTCATCATTGAATAGAATTTTGTGTTTTGAAAGTTGCCACCTTCTGCCTGATCATGTGAATGAACTAATGAGCATATCAGCTGAAGGAATGGAAGTATCTGACACACGAGAAGCCACCAAAATTGAATGAATTGTATTCAAGAAGTTCATTAACAGAGTTGTGCAAAATTATAACAAGAAACCAAGAAGGATGTAGACGTAGTGCTTCATAGAAGTCTTGAGTAGCCAACTTTAATTTGTGTGATGATTTTAAAATCTAATAAAATGGTCATGAAATATTTTTCAGTTTTTACTATGGTGCCATACAGTCCACCTTCACCCTCACGGTCTCACCCCTCATCGGCCCTGACCTCCCCACTGCCCCATAAATTTGAAACCCCCCCATTTCAATTCCTGGGGAAAAATACTGCTAGCATGGCAGCTCCTTGGGTTTATTTTAAACTAGAAGATCTCAATGCTCATGGAAAACTTCAAAAAGGAAGACTAAATCAGTCTGTACTGAAGCAGATCTTGGCAGTTGTGTTAGCCAGGAGAGACACCTGGAGAATCTTTGGAGTGGAAGCCTTTTGAATACACATCTGCCCAAGACACTGTGCAGCCGACGAGGATGCTGTCAGCAGGATCCCAGGGCAATTTCACTCACAAACTTGCAAGCCTAGAGCGGTTATGTCCATCAGGGGAGAAAGACTCAGCAAAGTCTGCTTCCAAGTGCTACTGTGGAGCAGCTCGTACTTACGTGATGAAGTCCAGGAAACTCGCCAATGGCTCATACGCGTGGTTCCTCATGTGACGAAACTCCACCACCATCTTCTCCTTCAACTTGTCATCTATGACGGACACAGTAAGGGGGGAGGCTTCGTTGGCCAGGAAGTTCCCATAATCCGTGCTCTGGAGGTGCAGCTTCAAATCTGAAAAGCAGAAACCACTATTCAGGAAATTTTTATTTTGAACTATTATGGAAAGGAAAAGATCCAGCGAACACTGTGCTTTGATCTGAGCATTCCCCCCTTACACTGGCACACAGTGACACCTGCTGCTCAGAGAGACACCTCTGCTTTTGTATTTTGTAATTCAGCTCATTGTAATTCCTGCCAAATGCAAATCCAAGCCCAGGAAGAGGCCAGCCATTTATCTTAGTCCCAACTTTGTTTTCCTCAAGCAATGCCCTCCTCCTCTACCCTAGAAAAAAATTCAGATGTCTCAAGCATGTTTGTCCTCTCTCTCCTTAACCATTTAAATTTGCACCCCCATGTTTACAGTCCTGCATGCTGGTGATCTGCCTGAGTTTGAGGGCTACTCTCATTCTTAGAGCTGTGTCAACAAGCACATCCGACATCTGAAAACCAAGCGCTTTATTGTGCCCAGCAGTGCTTTGGTCTCAGGCTTCACTGCAGGCCCTGCCTCAGTGAGTTTTTAGCAGGGAGAAGTAGTCAGGATCTCATGTGGCTTAGACACAGTTATGATGAAAAATCATAGAATAACAGAGTTGGAAGGGACCTCTGGAGGCCATCTAGTCCAACCCCCTGCCCAGAGCAGGACCAATCCCAACTAAATCATCCCAGCCAGGGCTTTGTCAAGCCTGACCTTAAAAACTTCTAAGGAAGGGGATTCCACCACCTCCCTAGGTAACGCATTCCAGTGTTTCACCACCCTCCGAGTGAAAAAGTTTTTCCTAATATCCAACCTAAACCTCCCCCACTGCAACTTGAGACCATTACTCCTTGTCCTGTCATCTGCTATCACCGAGAATAATCTAGATCCATCCTCTTTGGATGCACCTTTCAGGTAGTTGAAAGCAGCTATCAAATCCCCCCTCATTCTTCTCTTCCGCAGACTAAACAATCCCAGTTCCCTCAGCCTCTCCTCATAACTCATGTGTTCCAGTCCCCTAATCATTTTTGTTGCCCTTCACTGGACTCTCTCCAATTTTTCCACATCCTTCTTGTAGTGTGGGGCCCAAAACTGGACACAGTACTCCAGATGAGGCCTCACCAATGTCGAATAGAGGGGAACGATCACGTCCCTCGATCTGCTGGCAGTGACCCTACTTATACATCCCAAAATGCCATTGGCCTTCTTGGCAACAAAGGCACACTGTTGACTCATATCCAGCTTCTAGTCCACTGTCACCCCTAGGTCCTTGTCTGCAGAACTGCTGCCTAGCCATTCGGTCCCTAGTCTGTAGCGGTGCATTGGATTCTTCCGTTCTAAGCGCAGGACTCTGCACTTGTCCTTGTTGAACCTCATCAGATTTCTTTTGGCCCAATCCTCCAATTTGTCTGGGTCCCTCTGTATCCTATCCCTACCCTCCAGCGTATCTACCACTCCTCCCAGTTTAGTGTCATCCGCAAACTTGCTGAGGGTGCAATCCACACCATCCTCCAGATCATTAATGAAGATATTGAACAAAACTGGCCCGAGGACCGACCCTTGGGGCACTCTGCTAGATACCGGCTGCCAACTAGACATGGAGCCATTGGTCACTACCCAATGAGCCCAACAATCTAGCCAACTTTCTACCCACCTTCTGGTGCATCCATCCAGCCCATACTTCTTTAACTTGCTGACAAGAATACTGTGGGAGACCGTGTCAAAAGATTTGCTAAAGTCGAGGAATAACACGTCCACTGCAAAGGATACATGTGTCAAGAGGCACGTGTTTGCTCTGTGCATGGTGCCTTTTACAGATCAAGACACCAATTTTGGAACCCAGAGCACCACCTTGGGAGTTTCAGAATCTCATGAAGTGGCAGCAAAGTCAGTTTGGTTTTGCAAGCAGGTACTGGTCAGCAACTGGATTTGAGTAATACAATACACCATGGTAAAGTCAAGTCTTATGTCCAGGGTCAGAGATGGAGCTGGTGAAGAGGAATAGAAGGTGTTTCCTTGGGGAGGGAATGCCTAGTACGAGAGAGTAAGGAAAATCTGAACAATAAAGCAAGCAAACAAGTTGACTCCAAGTCCAGACACCAGTTCTGTTCCTCAGTTCCCCCTGCAATGTCAGCTGACCCACTGCAAGCTGCATTGCTGGCCATTGGATAACCCCAATGTGACAAACTCTCTCCTTTGTCAAGATATACCCTTCTTGCTCAAGTAAGATTTGTAATGCATCTCCATGGGCTGTAACTGAACCCAAAAATGTTAAGTCATTTAGAATCATTTATTTATCAAAGGGTTACAAGCTGCTCTAGTACATAGTGTTCTTCTGCCTTCAGCTTCATCTTGTCAGAGCATTAGTGAGGCAAGCCAATTCTCCTAGGGATTCAAGGGGCTTGAGGTGGAAAGGGATAGGCAGGGAAGTTTAGTTGAACCAGATGCTACCCAAAAACCTCTTCCTGATTTCTTGGAATCCGAAGTGTTTGAGCCACTCTTGCCCTACCACTGAATTGTGTAACAACTTCAGCTTTACACCAAGAATAAGAGTAGGTACCAAGGTTGGGGGCATATCCATCACCACTGGACAGACTCAGAAATGAGCTAAGTACATCTAAGGGCCTGATTTTGCTAAACTGTGCCCTTAACCTGTAGGCATAGTTACAGCCAACTGCACACGCAGTTACTCCACTACACCACCGTCAGAGGAAAGTTATCACCAGACAGCATTCAATGGAGCATACATCAAGCGGATTAAAAAAAAACAAAAAAAACAGCCGATGGAGCTCAAAGTAATTTTAAAAGGAGAATACTAATCCACTGAAAGCATTTTCAGAGGGGGTCTGGCGGGGAACTGTTCTTGTCCCAGTGCTATTCCACATCACTGATAAAGATACTGAAGAAAATATGAAGTCCCTGCTAGTAAATTTTACAGATTGCACATTAGTGGAGCAGTAAATATGGACAGATCATTTCTACCAGTCTGGATGGCTTGGTAAAATGGGTCCATTTGAATATTTTAACAACGCAAAATGCAAAATTTAAAAATAGAGAATATAGATTTCACATACAGGAAGGGAGACTATATCCCGGAAAGCAAAGACTCAAAGGGACTTGGTGGTTATGGTAGAAACCAACCAAACTTGAGCCATGGCATCACGGAGTGCCAAAAAGATTAACAGTCTTTGGACATATTAGCAGGGGAATCTCAAGTAAGGTAAGGAAGAGGTGATATTACCTTTGCAGACAGCACTGATAATGCCATTACTGGATACTCTGTCCAGTTCTGGTGCCCAAACAAAGACTATTATGTTAGAAAAAAAGGGTTCAGAGAAGAGCCACAAGAATGATTTGAGGTCTGGAAAACCTACCTTACAGTGATTGAGCTCCTTGAGTCTATTTAGTTTATCCAAGAAAAGGATAAGAGGTGCTTGACCATGGTCTGCAAGTAGTTACCTGGAGAGAAGATTTCTGACAGTGAAGGGCTCTCAGCTAACAAACGGAACAAGAGCCAATGATTGGAAAATTCAGCTAAATTAAGGTACAATTTAACTAGGGATGAGGTGGATTCTCCATGATTTAATCTTTTAGAAAGATATCTAATGTTAAATTAAAGATATGATGTCTGCATCAAACCCATAAGAATGGCCAAACTGAGTCACACCAATGATTTAGCTAGCTCAGTATCTTGCCTTCTGGCAGTGGGCAACACCAGATGCTTCAGAGGGAGTGAACAGAACAGGGCATTGAACAACATGATCCATCACCTGTTGTCCAGTCCCAGCTTCTGCACTGTACAGGTCAGACTAGATAATGGTCCCCTCTATTAATTTAGCTGTCCATTAGCATGTGCCTTTGAAAACTCGTGGCAATCAAGGGAGGTCCTGGACAATTGGAAAAAGACAAATATAGAGCCCATCTTTAAAAAAAGGGAAGGAGGAGGATCCGGGGAAACTCACCTCAGTCCCTGGAAAAATCATGGAGCAAGTCCTCAAAGAATCCATTTTGAAGCACTTGGAGGAGCGGAAGGTGATCAGGAACAGTCAACATGGATTCACCAAGGGCAAGTCATGCCTGACCAACCTGATTGCCTTCTGTGATGAGATAACAGGCTCTATGGATATGGGGAAAGTGGTGAAGGTGATATATCTTGACTTTAGCAAAGCTTTTGATACCGTCTCCCACAGTATCCTTGCCAGCAAGTTAAAGAAGTATGGGCTGGATGAATGGACTATAAGGTGGACAGAAAGATGGCTAGCTTGTTGGGCTCAACGAGTAGTGATCAATGGCTCAATGTCTAGTTGGCAGCCAGTATCAAGCAGAGTGCCCCAAGGGTCGGTCCTCGGGCCGGTTTTATTCAACATATGGATATATTTATATTCAACACAGAATATCAGGGTTGGAAGGGACTTAAGGAGGTCATCTAGTCCAACCCCCTGCTCAAAGCAGGGCCAATCCCCAATTTTTTCCCCAGAACCCTAAATGGCCCCCTCAAGGACTGAACTCATAACCCTGGGTGAAGCAGGCCAATGCTCAAACCACTGAGCTATCCCTCCCCCCCACTTTATTAATTATGTGGATGATGCGCTGGATTGCACCCTCATCAAGTTTGCAGATGACACTAAGCTGGAGGGAAGAAGTAGATACACTGGATGGTAGGGATAGGGTCCAGAGTGACCTAGACAAATTGGAGGATCGGGCCAAAAGAAACCTGATGAGGTTCAACAAGGACAAGTGTGGAGTCCTGCACTTAGGACGGAAGAATCTCATGCACTGCTACAGGCTGGGGACCGACGGGCTAAGCAGCAGTTCTGCAGAAAATGACCTGGGGATTACAGTGGACGAGAAGCTGGATATGAGTCAACAGTGTGCCCTTTTTGCCAAGAAGGCAAACAGTATATTTGGCTACATTGGTAGGAGTGTTGCCAGTAGATCGAGGGAAATGATTATTCCACTCTATTAGGCACGGGTGAGGCCACATCTGGAGTATTGCGTCCAGTTTTGGGTCTCCCACTACAGAAGGGATCTGGACAAATTGGAGAGTCCAACAGAGGACAAAAAAATGATTAGGGAGATGGGGCACATGGTTTACGAGGAGAGGCTGAGAGAACTGGGCTTGTTTAGTCTGCAGAAGAGAAGAGTGAGGGGGGGTTTGATAGCGGCCTTCAACTACCTGAAAGGGGGGGGTTCCAAAGAGGATGGAGCTCGGCTGTTCTCCGTTGCGGCAAATGACAGAACAAGGAGCAATGGTATCAAGTTGCAGTGGGGGAAGTCTAGTTTCGATATTAGGAAACACTATTTCACTAGAAGGGTGGTGAAGCACTGGAATGGGTTACCTAGGGAGGTGGTGGAATCTCCTTCCTTAAAGGTTTTGAAGGCCCGCCTTGACAAAGCCCTGGCTGGGATAATTTATTTGGGGATTGGTCCTGCTCTGAGCAGGGGGTGGGACTAGATGACCTCCTGAGGTCTCTTCCAACCCTGATAGTCTATGATTCTATGTGCTTTTACCCAGTTTGTGCTGTAATTACAGTAACTGCACATGCACAGTTTAGAATATTTAATAGGGACCCTTGTGTGGACTTCACGGGTGGGGAGAGAAGAGAAGCAGGCCGACTTGGTCTCTCTTCTCTTCGATACCTGTGGGTTCTAGGTTTCACCTGGAGATCAGCTCAAACACCAATGCCAGCAGGTACCATTCCTGCAGGCTCTGGGCTGAGAGCTGCTCTGTAAGGAACATGCTGTAAGTGTAGCATGTGGCCTCACTGTTCCTGTGCAGCCCCAGGCCTTATTTACTGCACCCTTGTCATACCCTGTTTGGAAGAGAATCATTAATTTCCTCCTGGGTTTTCCACGGCACTTGTCACTACGTCTGAGTGCTTCGCAAACACTAATCTATCTTCACCACACCACTCTGAGATGAGGGGGCAGAATTATCCCCACTTTACACATGGGGAACGGAGGCAGATTAAGGTCAAAAGTTTCCACTGATTTTGGTGCCCAATTTGAGATGCTTAAAATAAATGATTTTTTGGTGTACTGAGTGTCATATACCACTTATTATGGTCAACGCACCACTCTAGCTGACTTCAGCTGCGAGTGCTAAGCACTTCACAAGAAGCCACGGTGTAGAGACTTGCTTAGGACCACACAGGAAATCTGCGTCAGAGCCAGGGATAGAATCTAATTCTCCAGGGCATCGTTCAATTGAGTTAACAATGAGACTCTCCTTTCTTCCTGCATCCCCTGCCTCATTGACTACACACCTCCCAGTTTCTGCCCCAAATGTGGCAGGGGTCTTACAGATGACCCCACCTTTTACTGCACAGCCCTGATTCACCCCTACAGCAGCTCCACCCTGTGCACTGAATGAGGCAGGGACCCTGTGGAAATAGTTTGTGATAATGTAGTTGGATCGTGTCACGATGCACGCGCACAAGGGGACTGAGTTAAGGTAGCACAGGCAACTTGCGATCTGGCATCTCCTAACTTTTGAGTGCTTGTGTTTGCAACTTTCATGTTCTTTTAATGCAGGGGGGTTTGTGCAGTTTCCTAGGTTTTTAAGAAAACAAACTGAAAAAAACAAATTCCATCCCATCAACCCCCCCGCATGGTTCAACAGCAGGGTTAATCTATAGACCCACCGAACAGACCTCTGCCACCTGAGCTAATGGACTGATAGCAACAGAAGATTGTTACTCTCAAGATGGGCCAGCCCTAGAATGGGATGTGACAGACACTTTGCCATCATAAGATATCTGGGAAACCCCTGTGGCAGAAGAGAGGGGAGACTCAGGGATACTGTGTTCCATTCCAAGCTCTAGAAGGGAGTGTGCTCCAGTGGGCACAGACTTCTGCCCACTTCCAAGCCTGACCTCTTCTGCAGCAGCCCCTCCACCTTGTTACTGTCCCCTTTTCCCCACCACTGACCCTTACTGCACTCTCCTTCTCTGTGCCTACCTAGCCCCAGCCTCCACTCAGGAGGAGTATCCCAGTTCCCTTGTCCAGGCTCTTCACCCAGCCTCCCTCCTTTTTGTCCCAGGTTCTTTGCCCAGGCAGACCCACCTCTGACAAGGAGTTGGGATGCAGGGGTAGATCCGTTTCCTTCCCTCCAACCCCACCCTGGTTCCTAGTCCCAGTCTCCTTGTCTAGCTAGTCCCAGTCTCCTGGCCCCAGCTTCTCATCCAGTCTCAGTATTCCCGCCATCCCAGCAAACTGCCTCCAGTCCCCACCCTCATTTTCCCCCACTGGCTCCCAGTCGCTGGCGCTGGTCCACCAGGAACAAAACTTGCTTGGTTTGAAGTCCAAGCGAGTGTTGTCTTGGGCCCTGACATCGCTGGGCAAAGCTGGATGCCTAACTTGGCACCTCGTCTATGTTTCACTTGGCAGAGCACAGAGCAAACGTACCACAAGAGAGGGAAGGAAGAGGGGAGATTCCAGGAGCTCATGTTTTTTAAGCTGAATTGGTTTCAAGTACTTGGTAACCTTCCCACATGAAGAACCTAACAAGCTTGCTCCAAACTCACACAGTGAGCTCCTTCTCACAAGTCAGCGAACCCTCGTCTCAGGCACAAGCTAACAAGTCTTGGACAACCATCCTGCTTTTCCACTTCCCACAGGAAGGACTTGTTGCCTCTGCTCAGCCTCCCAGCTGCTTCACGCAGCAGTCTCAGTGGTAGAAACAGACAAGAACGTCACGCCCTTCCTAGTACTGGGAATATGGGGGGCTTGCCCAGAGCACCGTTCCATCCTCCAGCTTCATCTTTGATGCTACTGGGACCAGACCCTTATCGCTGCTTAGCTATGCTGCTGACTGATACACTGATGCCCCTTTCAAGTCAAAGGATCCCTACACTGATACTTAGTTCTTTCCTGGAGGACCTGTCAGAACCCCGCCCCCATCCCCACATCCTTCAGTCCAGTGACAGATCACACAACTAGGCCCTGCTCATGGCCATAGTTGGAGGGAAGGGGTTAAGGGACATTGCCAAACTGCAAGCCCCAGTCAGGTGTGGAATTTGCAACCGCCTCCCACACACGACCCCATTGACCTGACTGGAGCTGCCCCCCCTCAAACACCGAAGTCAAACTACGCCTATGGCCCTGCTCCAGTGGCCAGCGTAAAGGCCACACCCACAGCAGTGCCTGTGGTGGCATATCTGCTACAATGTGCTCTCCCCTCTGCCCCGGGGAGCTAGAATCAGGCCCCTGAATACCATGTTAAAAGTACAGAAATACGTGGCCCAATTCTCAGAGGTGCTCACCATGCACTGCTCCCCCACAAAATCTCCAGGGGATCACCCAAAACAGGCAAGTCGGTTTGTCAGGGAATTTCTTGGTAAGGCATTAGCTGTGATTTCTGGGCCACATAAAGACACGCAGGGACCGCTGCACTATTAACTCCCAATAGGTACATTTTATTTGTATCAGCTTCGCTCAAATCTTGTTCAAGATAACAGATGAAGGAGCAGTACAAGCAGTAACCTCTGCCAAGCAACCTCTCAACTGGAAGGCTGCGAGGAAGCTTCCGTTAGCCGTTTGTTTGGACAATTCTGCATGGCCAGAGGTACTCAGAGGTACTCAGAGAGGCACTCGTTTCAGTGGAGCAAAAGCCAGCTGGAATTGGGAACACATTATGTAACACTGGAATGGATTTCTGTGAGAGGGGAGCCAGTCCAATAACTCTGGAAACTAGGAATCAATTTCAGCTGGGCTCCTCCGCTGCCTATGAATTAGTATCCAAGCAGATTAAGCACTCTCCCGGAGGCTGGATTGGACAAGGGCAGGATTGGACAAGGATTTGGGGAGGAGGAACCTGAATTTTGGCCAGGGCATCCACTTGGATCAAAGTAGTGCCTTTGCTCCTCCCCTGAGCATGTCCAGCTATGGCAGTGCCGCAAGTGCCGGAAAATTGCCATTTGTAAGAGTTCAACAACTTGTCAGAGACCTGCTCTTTTCTTTGCTGATCATCCCAGGCAGAGAGTATAATTAAAGACTGCCATAACATGCACACAAGAGAGCTGAATGATGGCTACTTTCAACCAAGCATTTCTCAACTTTTACATGTTTGACTGTATAACCCTGTAGTTATTTATATGTCATTTAAAACAAG